CATAGTCCACTCCATATACTTGTGTAAAACCTTTTGCCACCAGTCTGGCCTTGTACCTTTCAACAATTCCATCAGCCTTGTGTTTCATTGTGAACACCCACTTGCACCCCACTGGTTCCTTCCCTTCAGGAAGATCCACCAACTCCCAAGTGCCATTTTTGTGTAATACATCAATCTCTTCCTTCATTGCATCTGTCTATTCAGGTTTGGATAAAGCTTCTACCACATTCTTAGGAACGGGGATACTGTCAATAGAGGAGAGGAATGCACGATATGAAGATGAAATATGATCATAGGACACAAAGTGAGAGATAGGATGGTTAGTGGTACAAGATCTAACACCCTTTCTCTTAGCAATAGAAACATCAAGATCGTTAATGATAGGGGAATCAACACTGAGAGGAGCAACATCAAGATCATTAATGACAGAGGAATCAACATTAAGAGGAGCAGGCATATCAATAGAAGCAATGTACCTGGCTGATGGGAAGGATCAACCTCCAGTGAAGCCGATGATGTTGGTTGCATAGTGTCAGGTTCCACGGCTCTTGAACTCTGCTGGCTTTTGTGGCGGCGAAGAAAGACACGGAATAAAGGAGGGTCAGGTAGAGGAGGTAGTTGAGTCTGAGCATGTTTCTCCTCAAGCCTACTCTCCCCCTAAGGAGAAACCGAGAAGAAAGGTTGATTTTCAAAGGACACATCTATTGAGACATAGTACTTACGAGAGACGGGATCATAGCAACGATACCCCTTTTGAGATAGAGGGTAACTAAGGAAGACACAAGGAATAGCACGAGGATCAAGTTTACCCCGAGTAGGTGACAAGTTATGAACAAAGCAACGACACCCAAAAACACGCATTGGAATGGGGAACAACAGAACTCTAGTAAACAAAAACTGATGTGGGGCCTTATACTCTAGTAACCGAGAGGGCATACGGTTGATGATGTACGTAGCACACAGAAAATCATCCATCCAAAAGCACTTTGGAACATTCATATGGATTAACAAGCCACGAGCTACTTCAAAAAGATGACGGTTTTTTCTTTCAGCAACACCATTTTGTTGAGGTGTCCTTGCACAAGAGCTTCGTTGAAGTGATCCACTCGAAGCAAAGAATTCTGTGAGATCACTATGGAAGTATTCCTTTGCATTGTCCGACTGGAAAATATGGATTTCAGTTTGGAACTGAGTGAACACCATGCGTTGAAAGTCTTTCACAATTTTAGGCACTTCCTCTCTAGATCGCATAG